GGGGTATACCTGACTTGCAGCAGCTCAAAACACACACGTCATATAATGCGTATAATATCATTGACACGAAAATATCGTCGTAGTAATATATTATATTATTATAATATATTGACGGTTCTCGGAAAGTTCTTTGTGCGCGCCACGTGTATTTATGTGTCAAGCGGTCCGCCGCCGGTTAAAACAATCCGCCGCAGTCGGTCGACTATGATATTATATTATTATAATAAAATATATAATATTATGTATTATATATATTTATATATACATATACTACATAGGTATTATGTACGGTACACGACGGGCTATTATTATTATTGTTATTATTTATTACAATTGTTATAATCGTCGTCGTCGTCGTCGTCGTTATCGTATCGATCGAGGTGTATCGATCGTCGTTGGTCAATAAATGAGCGTCCGGTCGTGGCGAGCGGATTACGCACGGCGGCGGCATCTATATATTATATGTACTTATAAGTACATAATATAATAAATACGGAGATCGTGACCCCAGTTTTTTCTCTCAGTCACTCGCGGATCTGCGAGTTAGCGGGGCGCGTTTTAGACACGAAAACCCTGTTGCCCCTCTGCGCATTTGATGTGGGTATATAATGTATTGTGTATATGTATATAGGATACACGGCACGAGCCGTGTACGGTATAAAGCACGGTGCTCGCCGGTGGCCCCCCGACGGTGCCGGAAGAGAAAATTTCGATAGGAAAAAATAATATATTACTATTATAATATGCTCGCTACGAGTATTGTACGACGACGATGACGACAACGACACGACAAACGTTGTACGTAGAAGAAAGATCTATACAATTAACAGCCACAACACAAGTACAGTACCCTATGAGACGGAGGAAAAAAACTACGACATAGGCCGCGAAAACTCGGCGACTGCACACACGCGACAGCTACGGTCGTGCTCGATTTTTTTTTTAATTAAAAACGCAGAAAACGCACGCGACGGAGGCAGTGGAGGAAAAGGTAAAAACCACGATCGGGTAAACGGCGCTTTCGCGTAACGGTGACGGCCGTTGTCGATAATGTAGTGCGTGTACGATATTATGTATTGTTTTCTGCTGCTGTTTAATAGGTATATGCTCCAAAAATGCATACTGTAAGACTCTAGAGTCGAGCCCAACATGCAACAAAGGAAATAAAATGGCTTAGGGAGAATCAAACCCTCCTAATCCGGCGGCCAGCCTGTATAATATTTACAACAAATCTCGGACCTCTCGTTCGTTTCAAAAAAATAAGTTTAAGTACGTTTCGTCATCAACAAATATTAAAATAGGATATTTTGTCTTCAGCATATATTGATTATAAAACTCGGGTCTCCGGGAAATTATAAATCATTATTTTTATTAATTTCTTCAGTAATATTTAAAAAGTAAGATGATAATAATAATGTAAAGTTTGGAAATTAATTCATTATTTTTTAATTTACTTGGTCAAATTGGGTTTTTTTTAAATTTATTTTAATATATAATCGTATGAGTCATAAATTAAATGTTTTAAAAATGTGCTAATATAATAACAATTTGACGTGGTGTAGGTAGACATGTATGTGAGCTAGATCTTTCAATTCTAATAGATGTTATTCCATTAAATTCCAAACCGGGATTTTCAGATACCTTGGTATACAAAGTGTAACAGAATGAGTAATGATCTGATAAATAAAATAACTTTTGTACTAATCAATATTTTTTTTATGTTTAGTTTCTAGATAGTAAACTATAAACTAACTCTCGCTACAAGCTCAGTGTAAAATAATTGTTTTTTATTTTTCAATAGTTTTAAATGTTACTGAATTTTTTTTTGGAAAAATTTAATTCAAAACAATCAATGTTCACGGTACAGACTTTTATTTAAGTGAAGTACGTGGCTTATTTTTTTCGATTTTTAAAGTATCAATATTTTTTTTGGAAATGTTCTGATGTGTAAATCTTAAATTAGGTGTAATATTCGTACTTATGTTTTCATACGTTTAACTAGCATCAATTTTTCATTTAGCATTCGTCAGGTTACACCTTGTATATCAAAACCAAAGGGGCCGAACATGTCGTACGGCTAACTAAATTCCCGGGTACTAAGCCTAATTTCCTACATCTTAATACGTGTCGTAGACGAAACGTACACTCAATCGTTTGACGGGGTAAACCCCGTCCGTTTACCATTTACGCCTGGACTAGGCCGCCGCCGGCGTATATTACTAAATAATAATATGCCTATTACAATAATATATTATTATAACTGCTGCTGACGATTCGCGGCGGCGGCGGCGGCGGCGATGACCGAGTTAAACGCGGCGAAGAAGACGTATATTATAATATTATATATTATACGCGTAAACGACGATGAATAATTATAATTCGTTTTCTTGAAAAACCGCCTGTGTGCATGGACGAACGAAAATATATTATTCCGTATGGGTACGATAATATAATATTATATACCTAATATATAGGTATTTATAATACGTGGTAGTGCGGCGGCGGGCGGACGAGGGGTTAAGAAACGAGAAACGGTACGCCGGTTAGATATGAACGTCGACGAGATGGACGGCGCGGCGGCGATGGGTTGTCGGGGAGGTAGTGGGTGAGGGGGAAGTCGGGTATATAACACACATATACATACATACATACATACATACATACATACATACATACATACACAGGTACGTTTATTATATATATTTAAATGCGTTCCGGGAATTAAACGAGTTTTGTGGACGGTGGTCTTGTCGATCCCGCCGCCGCCGACTCGGTCGTTTTACTTGCGCGTGTACTTGCGTGCGCGTGTGCGTGTGCTGTGCCGCGGCCGCGGTGCGTGCACACGCTCGGACGACCCGTTCGACGGACGGACGGACGGGCACCACAACGGTGGCCGCGCGGTCATTATAATAGATCGGCGCTTGAGCTGCAGCGGCAATAATAATATTGTGTATTTGTGTGTGGGGTATAAGCCACTGCCGAATAAAAAAAAAAAACGTTTTGCCGTCGTTATCGCCGGCGCGTCTATAATAGTAAATAATATGTATAACCCTCGCGTATAATATCAATAATATTATTAAAATTTAATAACACCGCACACGCTATATTATAATATGAAAATTATCGGGAACGATGTATTAAAGTATATTATGCCCGGAAGCGAGTACATAATATTATATACACAACGATATTATATATTATAAAAAGGCATCGGTAGTTCGGTAGTGGCTTCGCGATATATATATTTATTTATATATAATATAGGCTTGACTGCTTGAGATATATATATTATATTATATCCACACAATGCCATACAGTGTTATATATATTATATTGTATTATAATAATACCTAGCGCGGTGCTTGCACGCGACCGACACTGTATTATTGTGCAACAATTTAACAACAAGTCGGCAGTTATGTCCATTAGATCCCGAATGTCCGATGTATGGGTTCCTGCCTATATGTTATATTATTATATCGTTGGCTAAGTGCCAAATAGAAATTTTATAATCAGCCATTATTGCAATATATTATAATCTCGGGACTTAAATGGGGCACATATCATTATCTCATATATACGATAAGTCGATGATTATATTATACGGGGTGGTCAATGCACAGAAAATACATAGTAATAATATTTCTTTATTATTATAATGTGTAAAATAAGCGCAAATAGGTGTGCCATATCCGTTAAAACTGAAAGGCTCTAGTAGTATGCTCGTTAAGAAACCGCGCGATGTAGGTAAAGAAATAATACCACCAATACCGTTCTATACGACAGTAATATATAATATTATTATGTTATAAGATCATAAATAAAACCAATTTGTGAGGTCAGATATCGATTTCACCACCTACAAAGCTCGAGTATTTCCGGGAAATCGCCCGTCTGTATATTTTGTGAATAATATAAAAAACCAATTAATATTAATGCGTTTCTATTCGAGTTTCGAAATAAATGTATATGCTTTATAGCTGGTATACAACGTATCATTAGGGCCACATTAGACGGATCCACATCTTCGATAAATGTACCGATACATTATTACAGCGTGCTAACATAAAAATATAATATCGAAATAAGCCGATTAAATTGTACTTGCGTTACTAAAGTCTATACCATACTAGCAGGTGATGTTTTTTTTTTATTAAAGAACACTCATTATTTAAAAACTATTAACGTTTTTACTTTTTGAATATTAATATACGTCTTTTTAATCTCATATACCAAATACAAATATTATTTAGAGTACTTCGAAGTACTTCGATGTATAAAATAATCGATATTGGGAAGAATGTTTTATAACTTATAAGTATTTAAAGTTTGATGAGCGGAGTAGTGGATCAACCCCTACACCAATCTACTGCTCTCGTCTAAACTTTAAATACTTATAAGTAATAAAACATTCTTCCTAAACTTGATTGTTATACATTGAAGTATTCCAAAAAATGTTTTGCTTTAGAACAAGGAATTATAGTTGTATGTTGTGAGTAAAAAAAAGAAAAAAAAAATTATTTTTTTTTTCAAAAATCTTGTTTTATAATGACAGATTTTAAAATAATGCATGTTCCTTCGACTCAACACTCAACCATGTGTAATATTCAAATCAATGGGATAATAAGTAGAATTAATTTAAATACAAAAGTATCAATTTAAAGTTGAATTATGTACTTTTTCACTTTGTTTTCAAATCTAGTAGATGTTGGTACTTTAAAAGACTGTTTTGAGGTATGCAGGAAAATTCCTAAGAAATAAGACAATAGCATTTCGGTAAAATGCATAAATAGTCAAAATAAAATTACGTTAATTTAATTATAGCCTATAGGTATAAGGTATATACTATACACTATATACTATGTATATTTCGGGTTTACCGCTAACTTGGCGAGATTGACACGGACTTACAAGCCCCGAAAATAATAATAATAACACTATGAATTATAAACAAACAAATAAATATAACAAACAAATATAAAAAGTATAAAAATACTGACCGTCCAGCTGAAGGTAAACTGTAATGCCAGGTTTCCGCCGGCAGCGCCACGATTGCTGACGTCTGCGGGTGAATTGGTGTCCGGAACTGCAGCCGCAGCGTCACCGCCAAGCGTAAACGAGTTTCCGCCGAGCACGGGGCTGGTGACATTACCGAAGGAGCAGTGGTGTAGGTGCGAGTTGGGAGTTTGGTGGTGATTGGAACCCGCGGCTGACGAATCGTCTTCCCCGATGACCACCCTGCCACCGGCCAACGCGGACGAGGACGACCCACCCGCTGGCTGCTGCTGCTGTTGTCGGCTCTGGTACTCGCGCAAGCACACTTGGAATAGTGTGTTGCACTGCGGTGCACCGGTACACTGCAACGTGTTGCGCTGTGCCGATGACGATTGCTGTTGGGTGGACGACGAGGAATCGCTGCCACAACACTCTCCCGTGGCCAGTTGGCCGCGGTAATTTTCGATCTCCAGTATTTGCAGCTCAAAAAATCCCAGTGCCCGAACATCCTGAATGCGTGTAAAACGTTAAGAAAATCAATCATTTACCATATTTTAATGTGATACAGGTATTAGTATGTTCCATGATTATAATATACGTCATATAAGTTGTATAATTTAACAGCAATAATAACAACAACAATAACAACAACAATAACAACAACAATAACAAGACATAGAGGGCAACGCGGGGACGGCAACCGACAACGGACTTACCAATCAGTTCGCTCGATCAGCCGTCATACGTCCCTATAAGTAGGTAGGTGGTAATGGTACAGTCGGTCGTACTATACGTTTATACGAATATAACAATATACGTCATTGTTATGACCATCAAACGTCATCTTTTTAATCCGTTCTAAACTCTAATAACAATAATAGTCGTATCGGTGTAGCCAGTTAAGTATAATATTCGGTCGATCGTATCATCCTGGTGTCAATTGTACCCTGTATACCATGATTATGCAATTCGACTATCTAGCAACTATTGTGAAAGTCTATTATAATATGTGAGAAAACAACGACAGTAATAATGTATCTATGTATGTACGTGTGCTTGTGTATGTATATACGGTTGATATCGTGGTTTAGTGGTAATACTTCGGAGAACAAAAATCGCTATTCAAATTAGTATGTAAGCCGAGTCAAGTTAGATGTCGTGTCGTGTCCAAAAGTTGAGCTCTCCCCGCAACTCTAGAAATTGAATGTAGAGAGTGTTTAATGAATTATGCCATGATTGCAACGGCCAATCAGAATACTATAAAAGGGCACATGGCAGACGCAGTGCAAGGAAAATAATTTGTATTACGCCTAAACAGATTGAAGGAGATTTTTTTTTAAAGAGATACCGTATGCAACATGTAACCTTATTGTTATGTCCTGCTTGAACTCGGTGAACGCGGCGAACGCGATCAAATTCTGTTCTGACTATGCTGTTTGTCGCGCGAACGAACGAATATAAAGTTGTTTTGTTTTTCATGTCATCATCCGCGTCACGTAGGACACGGCGTATAGGTATATGTAATATTTTGAATTGAGAGCACTGCTGAACATTATGTTTTATAAACTTATATTATATGTAATAAGGTGCACGCACATACATCAACCTGCACCTCCTTCGGACTCTAAATTCTCATCTTTCGTTGATGATGGTAACGGGTGGGGGTGGTATAATTATATCGTTTCCGCCGCATATCCCCGCGGGCATCAAATCCGTTAGCCCGTCGGGGCGGCGGCTCCGATAATTCGAATAATCGGCGTTTCGCCACCGCGCATATAGCCATATACGTGTGAGCCGTACGACACGAAGACAGAGATGATTAATAATGCGCTGTATGGCGGCGGCGGCGCCGAAATAGTTTCTCATGAAACTCCATATTGTTACGCTAATGACGAGGTAGGTGGTGCAGGAGTACCTTTTTGTGGCAGACGGCAGTTAGGTAAAGTGTTAATTAAGATTTTATGTTTTGGGTTTTTATTATATTATGTTAACACCGCACACATATTCACACGGATTAAACGTCAATTTGTAAGATGTTAGGTTATTAGCCGACTGATTTAAAAATAATTAAAATATAAACATGACACGAGATAATATGTATAACTATACTTTAATTAATAGAACTAAATTTAACTATGAAGGTATACAACGATATTTAACTGCCTAATAGATTGTACTCTGTGTGCGTTATTCTGGCGCACTACATTTCATGAATACAATCGGTTTGAGAATGTGTGTGATCAAAAGAACATTAATAAACACTTCAAATAGAATATAATTGTTTATATTATACAGCAAATTGGTAATTAATATAAATGATAACCTTTTAATTGCCATTATATCTTTTGGATCTTTTTGTATTTATGTACAAAAAGCTGGAAAGTATATTGTTTATATCATCAACAATACCTATACTGCCTTCATAGGCATCCGCATTTTCTACTGTAGATACTCATTTAAGTTCTGCAGTGTACACAAATATACTAGGCACATTTCCTGTCCTTAATTCAGAAATTCCATGTAAATTATCTTTGTCAAAAATAAATAGACGAAGAATAGGTGATCAAAAATACATTATATTTTCAATAGAAAATCCGCAGGCTAGAGCCATTATTATATATTAAACTGTGCTAATTAAAAGTCGCTTCAATCACTTATTGTTACAATACTTATAATACTATATAACACTCGCGGTCGTACACTCGTAAAAACACTTTTTGGTCCTTTCGTGTTTGTTTATTCAGGAATAATTCTAATTATAGTGGACAGGTATGTCATCAGTTACAATATGCTTACGGTATCCGGTCCCTGCTACTACATATATTATAGGTAGGTTCCTATTTAAACTGTGCATAAAACGAACTCAATACCACACCATTACAATATAATATAACTAATTATCGCTTATAAGGTCGTCCGACACTACCTGCAGGCCTCTGCACATAAATACAACGAAGCGCGCGCGCGAACACAATAACTAAGTGCATGTCCATTGTCAGATACTTTATTTCGGGTCATCGGTGGCAGGACGCGGACAGGGGGGGCACGAAAACGATTGTTATACGTGACGACGCGACGAACGAGCTCACACAAATACACTCACGCGCGATAATAATGAAAATTAAAATGATAAATGATCGAGTGATTTGTCTCGTCGTTGTCGATCACCGACGCACGCTAAACGGATCGACGTCGTCGTCATCATCATCATCATCAACGTCATGCATAATATATATATATATATATGTATATAGTGTGTGCGACGTGCTAGCCATTTGTTACACGTAAATTCTCACTGCCATGATAAGCGGGGTGGTCGGGGAGGCAATGGAAAAAAATATCGCCCCGCACGACCAGATCTCTCCTCTGTAGGTACCATGGTACCTACCCAGCCCGCGCGTGTCTGTGCGGGAAATCACACGCGATCTATTACTGGATACAATATTTGCGCGGCGTGACGACGACAATGATGGCGTTTTCGAGTAAAAAAAAAATTTGTTGCTGCGAAATGTCATCCAGTTTTTTGTAGGTATAAAATACGCTCGTAATGCACTAATTATAATAATATAACTATACATATATCATATATATGTGGTGTTCGTAACTATATTTATTATATTATATCTAATATGTATATTAAATAAAACGTAAAAATATGTCTCCGTGAGTATAACTATAAAATATATTTTCCGCCGACAATCGCGTGAACCTCTCCTTTGCCGTCGTTCAAACAATCATCCTAACCTATGAACACGCAAGCTAGACCGCCATATTAATCGCGTTATTATTATTATTATTATTATTATTATTACGTTTTTGCGTGGTATAGGAAAAAAATGCACTTCGTCGTGAGGGGTTTTGTGTATGAAGTCGTGTGCGTGTGTGTGTGAGCGCAGTGTGTCTGGTGTTGGCGCACGAAGACATGGCCTATACACGACGACGACGACGACGACGACGACGACAACGGGTTGCGTGCCGGCCGGTCAGCCGCGTTGCGGCGGCTGCCACGCGGTCCCGGCGTGCGTGCCACCACGTCCGCCGCCCACGTAACGCGTGTAGACGCGCGCGCGCGCGCTCGCGCTTGTATAGGTATATTCACAAGCTCTCGCTCGGCAATCCATCTCTCCGCTGCTGCTGCGTACACCTCCTCCACCTCCACCTCCTTCTCCTCACCGTCCCCCGCGCGACTCGTATATTATTATTCGTCACGACTCGGCAGGAAACTTGCGCGCACATCACAGCGATATAATATAATATATTATTATACCGTGTTATTATATATTTTTATACATTGCATTATATAGAAAACGATGTCGTCGTATACACGACGTTTAACCGAATTTCGCTGCGTTTGTACGTGGACGTCGTAGGTATGCGTACACATTGCAAGAGTGGACATATACCGTGGTATAGAGCTATATATTATGCATATAGGAACGACGATTCGCGTTCTCGATATCATTATTTATAATATTATACATAATATACCGTCGTCGTCTTGGTACACTCTACAATGCGTGCATATATATTATGTACACGCGCGTGCAGTAGCGAGTATTACGAATGATTTTCGAGGACGGCGGCGGACCGTGGAAAATCGGAGAATATAACTATGCGTGTCCGTCCAAAGTATAATGTAAAAAGCGGCAAAACGAACGGCGGGAGCGATGGTCTGGCCGTGAGTGGGGTTGCATAGGTACGGGCGAAACGCAATGACGTGTGTAATAGGCGAGACGAATAAATACGCCGCCCTCCACCCACCACCCCACTCACCGCTTCTGAGTCGACGACGTGAGAATAGAACAGAAATAAATGGAATACATTTTTTTTAGAATAATAGAAGGTATATAATAAGGTACCTAATAATAATAATAATAATAATAATAACGCGATATATACACGGCGACTGCGCGTAAAACACGGCCGGAGTATCGAGGCGGCGGGGAAGAGGGCCGGGCTTAACACCGCTGCGGTACACGAACATTTCGACGGTACCACCGCGTCTGGGCGGGGCTTGGGCGGCGTGACGATGCGCGTATACCGCGGACGCGGCCTGGCGAAAAGTTACAGCGCTGGCCGTGAGACGACAGAACGAAAGTCACTCCCCCCGCAACCGCGTCGACGGCCACCGCGGCCGTTGACAGCGGACAGCGCGCGTGCGTCATCCCACCCTGTTGCAACCGTCTTTCGCCGGCAAAGCGCGCGGCGCGAGCGTGAAGAGCGTTTTTAACGTATCGCGTGATTTGCAAACTTTGAATTTACTTTATTTTACACCGCGCACTAAACTGTATAATAAAATACAATGTTAGTTATATGTTCCAGTGATGAAACTTAAAGTTTTGCCGAAAGTTTTCAGCGATCCCGACGGCGAGAAAGAAAAACAACAGCCGTCGACAATTGTTATATTATCGCTCGTAGATTATAACACTATTGAGTTGACTATACAATATACATTTATACTCGATATTATTGTGGATCCTGAAATCGTATGCCGACGGCCGAGGAGGGT